GAGGGAGGAGGAGGAGGAGGAGGAGACTACGCAGGGGGGCAGAGAGCATGACAGGTCACACACACACACACATAAAAAAACACAGCCAGGAGGGAGGAGGAGGAGACTACGCAGGGGGGCAGAGAGCATGACAGGTCACACACACACACACATAAAGAACATACTAAAACACAGCATCGTATATAGAAAACATTCCTTAGACAGGCAAGAGATGCACTAAAAGAGAAAAGCCGCACAGCAATCAAACTCTAAATGCAAATGAGCAGCCAGTATTTCACCAGTGACCGTCTGTATTACTGATGAAAAGGTCACCGCTTTCCAGGCCGTTTGATTTGAGATGAATTTTACAGCAGTGCAACCTGGAGATGACAAGCTGATTTCTCCTGAACGCCTCTGATATCACGAGTCTAGTGTGGTACAGTTACAGAGACGTGCAAGTCTGCCATATTCATTACTACCTAAAGCATTTATAAAAACACGGAAAACTATTTTTACCAACAGTTCCAATATGCATTACCAGTCAAAAGTTTGTAATAATTACATTTTAATGTTTTTGAAAGAAGTCTCTTATATAATCACCAATGCTGCATTTATTTGACCAAAAATACTGTAAAATTATGAAAAACTATTCAAATTTAAAATAACCATTTTCTATTTGAATATATGTTAAAATGTAATTTATTGCTGTGATCAAATCTGAATTTTCAGCATCATTACTCCAGTCTTCAGTGTCACATGATCTTCAGAAATCATTCAAAAAAATCCTAATTAATCCAACTTTTGACGATAGTATATATGGTCACAAATACTCAAAAAAAGCACAAATTAAGTTGATGTTTCGACCTTTTGACCAATGAAATTCCATGACATTTCCAGTCATTCAGGCATTCATATTAAATAAAATATTTTTTAACATAATCATATTGAGTTTGCTTTTCCAAAACAGTTTCTAGTTGCTAGAATATTTTTATGAGCCAAGTATAAGTACAAAAACAGGTCTGAAAATAGCAGTTTTAAAATTCCAATATTTTGCATGATCACAGAAACCCTGTTCAAAACATGTGAAAAACAAAAACAACAGTATTTTAGGCAAATAACTGAACATTGAATTAAACTTTATTTCATTTTGTGTAAGAGTGAGAAAAACACAATCTCAATATACAAAAAGATACATCACAGAATATGATTTCTTTGACTTTTTTTACCCGTTCTGATAAGGCACATCTATTCATCTGTAAACAACAGACAACAGGCATCACACGCAAAGAAACTGAATAATAAAATCTAAATAATTCATAGTGGTTGTAAAATGGCACAGATGTAGTGAGATTCTCACATTTCACGTCTAAAAAGTGTCTTGGCATTTGGTATTAGAGGGTTAAAACAGAGGAGAACAGTTTTGGCTTTATGATGACATTGTGATTTTTCAAGTTTGTGACTATTAACACTGTGTGAAGTTTTGCCAATATACCAAATTGATATTTATATTTATTTTTTTGTGCATATTACCGCATGGGGGAAAAAAAAGCCAGAAACCTGCTTCTTCCTCTGTTGACATACTTACTGACACCTAGTGGTTATAACTGCTCTTTACGTTGGGTGGATAATATTAACCCCTCAGATAACCGAAACAATATTTATAAGTGATCATTTTTATTCAATGTTTAAAATGTATTTTTTAACAGCTGTACGACTCTAAAACAGATTTATACTCATCATGCATTGGCTCTTCCTTAAACAGAGACATTTTCACATGCCTGTATGGAATATTGACTTCAAACACCATGTTAAATATGAATCCTGGATTCTGGTAAACAGATGCAAACAATAGATAAAACACCACATCATTTGTAGAAATGTTTCCTTTCACAAAAGCTTGATAAACTGATTCATAACAATCAACATGTTGTCAAGATTATGGCAAATATTTGAAAGAGAAAACACAACAGAGAGACTAAACACAAGAACCTCCGTTTCAGATTGTTTGGCAAATGAAAGGTCAAATTATGATCCTAAAACTGAAATTCCTAACTACATATTTGAATAGTAGATAGTTGTATTAGATATATGCATATACTGCACGTTATTTCATATACTGATTTAAATGCATGTCTTACGATATCTTGATATATATATATATTTCCAACAATTGAAAGCACATAAGAGCAGAAAATGACACCTTTAAAGGGACAGTACACCCAAAAATGAAAAATCTGTTATCGTTTACTCACACTCATGTTGTTGGAGTTTCTTTCTTCTGCTGAGCACAAAAGAAGATATTCTAAATAATGTTGGCAACGGTAGCCATCGACTTCCATAGTATTATTTCCCCCTACTATGGAAGTCAATGGCTACCGTCAACTATTTATTTG